TTCTTAGTCATGGATCTCTTCCTGCCAGTCTGTGTTTGCAGGAAAGACCCTGGTTTTTTTTTTTTTCCTCTTCCTTTGCTGGTCTCTGTTTTGACTGTTCCCTTTTTTCCTTACAGAGGTAGCAGAGGAGCTTGGAAGAACAGCCTCGTCCTCATCCGTCGTTCCTTACCTGCCCCGCCTACCCATGCTTCCCTCCAAGACAAGAACCCTGAAGAAACAGGCAGAGAACAAGGAGAACATCGAGGGGACACAGGACACTGTGGAGCACTCAGCATCCAGCTCAGCACCAGGTGTGGGCACAGGGTGGAAATTCCCAGAGAAACAAAGAACAACGTGACATGGGCATGCTTTGTGCTGCTGTGTGAATTGTTTACTAGCAAATAGAAAACACTGTAGTTTTTTCAATGTTCTTTAGTAAATCCCATTGTATTTTTTCTTTCAAATTCAGTTTTGCTGCTCTTTTTTAAGTGACAGCTTCAAAACTAAAATTAACAGTGAAGCAAGAGATTTCCTCCTATACTTAGGGTATTTGGAAAGGAGCAGAAGATTATGGGAAGGGAGCAATAAACTGAAAGAAAAGAGCAGCTTTTTTCTGATCTCTCTCCAAAGTAGCCTTCTCAGTATAGACAACAGACAAGTCACATACAGAAATGGAAAAAAGTAAAGAAAAAATAAAATATAAGTGCTTGCTTCTTCCCTCACTCTGTCTCTGCAGCACCTGGGCAGGTAAATACACCAGGCCTATAAAACCCAGTGCAGGACAGGGAGGTGGAAATGGAAATAGATTGTCCAGACTGACACCTGTCTCTCCTGCCCAGGTTTCATCAGAAGCACGCAGCCGACAGGCGGGTCCCCCGCGCTGCCCCGCAAGCAGAGGGACAAGAGCCCCAGCAGCCTCCTGGAGGATGCCAAAGAGACCACGTTCACCAGGGACAGGAAAGGGGGCTTCTTCAGCTCCTTCATGAAGAAGAGGAATGCTCCCACGCCTCCCAAGCGCAGCAGCTCCTTCCGGGAGATGGAGAACCAGCCCCATAAGAAATACGAGCTGACGGGTAACTTTTCCTCTGTCGCTTCCTTGCAGCACGTGGACGGGTTCTCCTTTGCTCCCGCGCAGCAGGACACGAGCCTGGCACCCCCCAAGTGCTACGGAGGGGGCTTTGTGCAGAGGACCTTCTACAGCGAGGAGGGCACTGGGCCCAGCAGTGCTGGGGGTGTGAGCACTGGTGGAGGGTGGTCGGGCATCACTGGCTTCTTCACGCCACGCTTGATTAAAAAGACGCTGGGTTTACGAGCAGGAAAACCCACTGGCAATGAAGAAGCTTCAAAGCCTTTTCCAAGGTCAAACTCTACATCTTCCATGTCCTCAGGGCTTCCAGAGCAGGATAGGATGGCAATGACCCTTCCCAGAAATTCCCAGAGGTCAAAAATTCAGCTGGAACGGACTGTGTCCACCTCCTCCCAGCCCGATGAGAGCACAGAGAGGGCCAGTGACCTGATTCCCAAAAGGTTTGAAGAAGGCCCTGCTTTGACCAGAGAGAGACCAAAAGCAAAACTCTTGCCAAGGGGTGCCACAGCACTCCCTTTTCGAACTCCCTCCGCGTCGGAAGAAAAGGAGGGTCCAGGGCTAGTGGCAGCTCCTAAGGGCAAGGAAAAAAACAGTGGCCCACGACAAGGGGCCCTTGAGGATGGCGAGAGGCCGGGGTGGTCATCTCCGGTAAAGGCTGCAGCAATACTTCCAACCACTCATAACCACAAAGTGCCAGTCCTAATCTCACCCACTCTAAAACACACTCCAGCAGACGTGCAGCTCATTGGCACAGACTCTCAGGGTAATAAATTTAAGCTCTTATCTGAGCATCAGGTCACTTCTTCCGGCGACAGGGACCGGCCCAGACGGGTAAAACCAAAGTGTGCTCCACCTCCACCACCGGTGATGCGGCTCCTCCAGCAGCCAGCTGCCTGCTCGGACGCAGCAGAAGAGCTGAGCAGCGCGGCGGGAGCGCAGCACGGACTGGAATCCAACGAAGGGAGTAAGAAGGCAGCAGCAGCAGCAGCACCTGTTGGTGGAAAATCTGGGAGGCCCGTGATGCCTCCGCCCCAAGTGCCTCTGTCATCGTCTTCCACCTCCCCGGTGAAAATGGCCAACGGCACGGCCGGCGCCAAGGTAGCGCTGAGAAAGACCAAGCAGGCGGCTGAGAAAATCCCCGCAGACAAGATCAGCAAGGAGGCGCTGCTGGAGTGCGCGGATCTCCTGTCCAGCGCCATCGCCGAGCCCACGCCCAACAGCCAGCTGGTGGACACGGGGCACCAGCTGCTGGATTACTGCTCAGGCTACGTGGACTGCATCCCCCACACGCGCAACAAATTCGCTTTCCGGGAAGCCGTGAGCAAACTGGAACTCAGCCTGCAGGAGCTGCAGGTGTCCTCGACAGCTGCTGGCGTCCATGGGGCGAACCCCGTCCTTAATAACTTATTGTCATGTGTCCAAGAAATCAGTGATGTGGTGCAAAGGTAGCTACTGTCAATCTGGGTAAGAGAAACACACACGGGGAGGGCGGGACTGTTTTTCTGTACTGATGCTTTCAAAAGGAAAGACTGATACTTGAGTATGTGAAGTACCTCAGATCACTGAGTTCTCCTCACGTTTACAGGTTCATCTCAAAAAATTGGGGATGGAGAGGGGTAGATTAAAGCTGTAAGGGGCAGAACATCAAGGATCTGTCCCTACCTAGTCAGGCTGATCTGCTTGGTATGGCAAGGGAAAAAGAAAGTTCCTTCTCCTCCCCTGGAGAGGCAGGAGAACCGAAGGCAGGTTCTCCCTCTGGGTAGGATGGTGGTGACAGCCGGAGCCCTGGGGTGGCTGCAGCTGCCTGGCTGCACAGATCCCACCCTGGCTGCACTGACCTGTGCTTTGCTGTCCTGACAGGGCCAAGGAAAGGCGCTGGGGCTCTGCTGGTACCAAGGGCGGAGCAGCCGGAGCAGCTCCAGAGGGGGTCATGTACAGCTGGGGGAAAGGTCTAATGCACTGACAGTATTCAGAGCTGCTGGAGGTGGATGCACTGGTCTGGATGGCTTAACTTCCACAGCACTGTTGCTGCTGTAATGAGAACTGCAAGATTAGTTAATATATGAAACTGTCCCTTTTCCCTCCTGTCCACCTCATCCACCACATTCTCATTGTCATTGTATTGGAAGTGTCAGGGATGCTGGGCAGACTTACCACTGGAATTCCCCTTCCCACCACACTGCCTTCACTCAGCTGATACCTATTTCTAGTGGTCTAGCACAGGTGCTGCTTGATGGTCATTTTTGAGTAGTTTGGGGCTCTTGCACAACTTGCCAGTGTTGTTGTTGGGGTGGGTGGGTTCTTCCTTTTTTTAAGCTCTAGATTGTTTTTAACTTGTTACCAGGTTGACTCCCTAGTTCAGTGTGATCACCATGAGGACCCATGGTAGGTAAGGCAGAGCCTCTGCCCCCCTGGCTGTTCTCCACATTCCTTTAGCAGTCACAGCACTGCAGGGCCAGCTGGAGAACCAGAAAGTACAGCCCAGCCTGCCCACCACTTGTCCTTACAGCTGCAGGATTCCTTGCGCCTGTCCCTAACCCTTCACACTGCCAGATCCCTGGGATTTGTTCTGGCGTTTACCTGTCTCACAGGCTTCCAGCTTCTCTGCATCCCAAGGTGACAAAGTATGGCAGCACACAGGAAACACCACAGGCATCTCCATGCATTTGTTCCCATTTTAAAGGCTAGACCAGAATCCTGCACTGTGGTGTAGGGAACATGCACATAACCTGTGCACTGCTGTGCCTGAGGCATGGCAACAAAAGCCGTGGCTCTGCCTTGAAGGGCTCCAGTGGGTCTCTGATGCCTTCTAGTAACCCCAGAATGAGCAGCTGAGTGGTTGGCATTGTCATCCTTGCTCCTTGTGCTGTTTGCAGACTGTTGTGGCCTCAAAAAGCTGATCTGTCTATGCACAACTCCCCGAGGTGTAAATGTACTGGCAAGGAGGAAGAGCTCAGTTGCTGGTTTGTGAGAGGAACGGAAACAGGCCTGAAACCTGGCTCCAAATACACCTTACCTGCATGCTGCTGCTCACTTCACACTGCTGCTGGTAGAGGATCTCACTTGCTTTGCACCTTAAGCCTTTATTTTTTTTTTTGGCTAAAATGCTTTCTAAACTTGTTTTTCAAGTGTGGCCGTGCTGCTTTTAGTCTGAGCATTTCGAGGGGAGCTGTGGCATGGGTGTGACTTTAGAAGATGGGCACCTTGTATCTGTCTAGAAGCACGTGGTGATGCTTGGAAGCAGGCTGGGTGTCTCAGCAAGTGTCCCTGTTTTTTCCACAGAGCATAGCGAGACAGGCCTGGAAAAATCTTTAGAAATGGGCTGAGAATCCTCATTTCATTACTGGTCTGAGCTAAGCAAAGTTGTTTCAGGGTGTGTGGAGGCAGAGCAGAGGAGCAGCATGTGAGGTACAATGGACCAGTGAGCTGCTGTGGCCCAGTAAGTGAAGGGCTGGGGGGAACAAGAACCCAAGCAACCCCTTGTGCTGGCAAGTCCTGATCCCCTGCAGCCCTGGGGCTGTCCCAAGGCTCTTCCACAGGCAGAGTACCAACCCCTTATCTCCTAGACTTTACTGAGGGCTTTTGTGGTTTACCTTATCTCTGTCAGTCATCTTCATGGAAGGTGTGCATCCAAACTGACTGCCTTTGGACAGGTGACCTGCACAGGGAAGCTGGCTTGTGGCATTGCTTCACATGGCCTGTCAAACAATCAGGAGCATTTAGAGGGTGGAGGGCTCTCTTTTCTTCAGAGCAGAAGGGCAGGTCTTGCTTACCCTGGCAGACCATCACATGGTTCCATGATTGTACTGCTGCTCAGCCTGGGACAAATGGGCTGGAACCAAAGGAATTCCAGGGGAAAGGAATCTTAACAGAACATTTTAAAGTTTAGCCCAATTCTGATGAGCATTTTGAAAGAAACCTTTTTTTTTCCCCCCCTAAATGCCAGTCTTCCAGAAAAGCTGCAGCAGAAGTGGTAGAATAGCAATATGGAATTTCTAACTACTAGACCTCCCCTCTTGCAGCCCTTTCTGAAGAAAGGAGCCGTGTTCCAATGAACACTGTGGGCCATCCCCACTTCCTTTCAGGTGCCCCATTTTCTCCTTGCCCCTGCAGCAGAGATGGGCAGTGGGACAGAGCAGCATCCAGCTGCTTTTCCAGAGTCACAGAATGGCTGAGGTTGGAGGGAACTTTGGAGGTCACCTGCTCCAAACACTCTTCCCAAGCAGGGCCACCAAGAGTTGCCTGTGAGGACCATGTCCAGGCAGCTTTTGGGCATCTCCAAGCACAGAGACTCTGTGCCCAACACAGGAGTGTTTAGTTCTGACCCCTCCTGTGGTGCAAAAACAAGGGCCAGTGAATTTGGGGATTTGCCTGTTGCCACTCTCATGGGAAGTGTTTTCTCTGCCCTTACCTACCACCTAACATCAGGCAGGCAGATTGTGGCAGAGGTAGTGCTGACTGAACAGGTTTTTTTCCCCCTAAATTGAAGGCTGTGGAATTGCTGGGACTTCTGCTGCCCTAGAGTGTTTTATTCCCAAACTGCAATGCTCCCCTGCCCTCTGGCAGGATAGCAAAAGGAATCTGGGAAGGCTGGTTCTGCTGTAAGTTACCATCCAGTTGTACTTCTTCCACTGCTGCTTCTAAAACTTTTACCATTCCCTCTCCCTTTAGCTAGGTCTGCCTTTCTCTTCAGCCTTAAAGGTCTCCACTGTGGCCTGTTCTCTGTTCTCAGCCTGGCACCACATGTGCAAAGGAATGTGTGGGTGCTGACACCCCATTATTTGTCCCAGTGAAGAGCACTTCAAGCTCCATGGTTTGGGGCAGGGGACAAGGCAGAAGTCCTGTTGTTTCTTCTCCTCAGCACTGTCAGACAGCTGTGGGGGCACAGCTGGAGCTGGGCTCTCTCCCTTGCACTGCTGTGGGCCAGGGTTCAAAGCAGTTGTCTTTGCCATGGGGAAGGCACCCACGGCCTGGTACTGCCAAGCACAAAAGCACACAGGGAGCTCAGGGGGGCACTTTCTCTTCCTACCCCTGTGGGAATTGGCTGACTCACAGGTGCAATTCTCTCTTCTTCCTGCACTGCACACCCTTCCTAACCCCAGAGTGGTGCACTTGATTTAGTCAGGTTCTTCATTAGTGTGGGCAGGGGTGAAGCTGAGAGTCTGGGTCTTGGGACTGCACCAAGTTCAGCCAGTGGGAAAGGGGGAGGGAAGGGAGCAGCGTTGCTGATGCAGAACACAGCAGGGAGAGAGGAGGCTGTGCTTGTCCTCCTCAGGACTTTCTCCTGGGTGCCACTGGTCCTGTGTGCGTGAGACAGCCAAACACGAGTGTTGACATCTGTCAGGGTGCTTTGGAGGAGCTGGGGGCACAGGGAGCCAAACCCCACAGTGGAGACAGAGCAGCCCCTCCCCAGCAGGCAGAGGTGTGGGTGGGCTACACTGCAATCCCAGCCCTCGTGTCCTACCACTTACCTGAGGCAGGCTTTTCCTCCGGGGCATCCAGGGCACTGACAGGCACCAGGGACTCCGCAGGATGGTGGCTCCACAGCCATCAGGCTGTGACACACAGCTCAGCCCTGCTGCTCACCAGGAGCCGGCAGGGACACTGAAGGGAGCTGCAGCTGTGGAGGCTGCTGGGGTGGTGCCGCACGACCCTGGAGTGTGGAAGCAAGCCCGCAGGCCATTCTCTGGTAGCAGCTCCAGGAGGTTCTGGGACACTGACTTGTTTCTCACAGCTCCAGGCTAAGCAATGTCTGTACCAAAGGAGCTCGTTCTTCCCCATGTGTCTGTTGTGCACGGGAGGTGGGTGGAGCCTGCTCGGCTCACACGGCACTCTTTGTACTGGTAGGGAACTCGTTGAGGGCAGGAATGGATTGAAATGAATCACGTTAATCACCAATCACTCTTAGCAGTGTTGTCAACTGTTTTTGTTTTTTAATTGTTATTGTAATATATTTTGGTTGTTTTTCTAATTTAATTCTCTCACTATCGTCTGACTGTGAACTGCGAACAGTGTTAAACTTGATGTAAATAAGGCTCTTGGAAGAGCCTCTTTGCCTGTCGTTCCACAAAGTTTTGCCAATTTGCATTTTGTTTTAAATAAAGGTTGCAATATTTTATTGGCAAAAACCACTCGAGTAGATGCTGGGGTTTTTTTTTCCCTCCTTAATGAATATATGAAGCTGCTGAGTTCTAACCAGAAGCTCTTTCATTTGGGTAGAAAAAATTGTTTAAAAGAGAAATAATTTAATTCCACCAGGTTGCAGAAAAAGCAGTATCTTTATTTATGCAGCATCTATTTAGAACCAAGCTGTTGCCCTGGCGTGGTCAGAGAGCAGCTGTTGCTGTTGTGGGGCTGAGCAGAGCTCACCCAGGTGTGACACAGCCCTGGCCTCGCCCTTGTCAGCGTCACCAGCACCTCCCTCGGCCAGAGCTGCTCCTTGTCCACCTCAAACCAGTCCCCAGCGACCTCCTGCCACCCAGCCTGTGCCAGCCTAACCCAGCTGAACACTTCTTGACATTCAGAAAAAATCCCAGGTGCTCCTGGCTTACACACACAGCCTTTTGGCTCCTATCCTTCAGCACACAGCTTGCTGAACTTTGTGCCCAGGTGACCAAACACAACCTGAGCTGTGTCCTGTGAGGCAGCAGCCTCCCTGCCCAGCTGGAGGCATCGCCCCGGTGGGTCCCAGGTTTCTGACACCTGAGATTAACCATAAACCAAGTCTCAGAAATGCCTGATCAGCCACGCTGGCACAGCCCCAAGGTCCATTCCACAGGGCTGGGTTAAGCCACCTGCACTGGCTGAGCAGTGGGAGAGCAGCTGGCTCATCTCTGCTGGGACTGCGACGCCTCCTCAGGTAACGGAGCCAGCAGGGACTCAGAGCCTGCAGGGCTCAGATGTGTCTGTCTGGTCAATCTTTGCCAGAGGTCACACTGCTCATCACTGGCACTGCAAAATGGGTCAGAGCTTAAAATAGAGCAAAGGTCCCCGTGGGGGTGGCTGGGAAGCCAAGCCCTGTCCTTGGCAGGGGCTGTGTCACTGCTCGCCAGCACAGCCCTGTTGGAAGGGAGTTTTGACCCAGAGGTCACAGAGTGATTCCTGTAACACTGATGAAATTTTTTGGAGCTGCTGCAACACACTTATCACCTGGCGAGTACCCAGACAGCAAACAGCCCCTTGTAATAATAATAATAACAATAATGCTGATACCAGCCAAAAAGCCACAGCATGAAATGTACTGAAGAGAAAAACAAAAAAAAGGAAGGAAAAAACCCAAGCTTTTACTGCATCCATGAAAACTCACATGCAGCTGCAGCCTGATGCTTCAGCCACCATCCTCCTCACCTGCCCTCTGCCCTTGGGCAGAGGAATTCTCTCCCCGTTTTGGTTTTGCAGTGAAGGAAACGGGCTCTGCACCAACCTGCTTAGTAAAACAATTGCAGCAGAAGTTCCCCTCACCCCCGCAGCTGCTTCCATACAACGGAAGACTCCAGTGAGAGGTGGACACTCCAAGATGAGAGCTATGGATTTGGCATCTCCAGAGGAGATTATTCAGTCCTTTTCTCCCTTCACAAACTACAATCCTGGCACATGTGTCCCTGAGCAGCAGACACCTTAAAAAGGCAAGAGAGCAACAGAGGGGAAAACCTCAACTCCAGCAAAGCAGTTCTGTGTGGTCTTGTAAATTGACACAGAAAATTGGGGGCAGGGATGTGTCTTTGGCCACACTGTCCCAACAGGACCAGCCTGTCCAAGGCCTCCCTTCACCACACAGCAACAAAACAAGGACTTGGACATTCCCAGTCCCCACTCACATGGAACAGCATCTGATAGAACCACATCACCCCTCCAGCTAAAAGAAGGGACTTAGAACACCAGACAGGCTCCAAAAGCAGCCAAGCACAGGCTGTCCCCACATCCCAGGAGTAAGGGATGCACCTCCTTCCCTGCAACAGCTCTGGGAGTAACGGGGGCTTAAGCCTCTGTGAAGTCCCTGTGCAAGTGCCTGGCTGGGTCATCTGCCTCTGAGCCTGTGTGAAGGGAGCAGCTCCCGGAGTGCAGAACACCTTCAGCACACGTCTGGTCCCCCTGGTGTTCAAGGAATGAAATAATTGATGCGCTGGGGCACGGATTTGCAGCCCTGTGCAGAGAAAAGCTTCTCCTCTTTGGGGACAAACACCATCATCTGGGCCACCTGGTCGAGCGTTGCCTCGGTGTAGGGAAGGCCACGGGCCAGGAAGGCGTCCCGAGCACAGAGCTTCACGTGGTGATACTCCAGAGGCAGGAAGGGCACCAGGAAATCGATCAGGTTGTCTCTGAGGAGCTGGCTGTGGGCATAACTGTTCTCTGGAGCAGAGCACAGGAAAGGCAAACTCAGAAGCTTCACCTGAGAGCATCGTCCCTCGGCGAGGCCAGGCTTGGCTCCGAGGGGCTCATCCAGTGGGACCCCCTTGTGCAGAGCTGCTCAGCACTCCGAGCACAGAGCACCTCTAGGAGTCACACCAAGAGATGCCTGGAGCCCCAGAGAAGCCAATGTTCTGCCCTGTGAGGTTGAGCTGCCTCTTGCCCCCGGCCATTTTCAGGGCTGAAGGGGGCCTGAAGGCCTCTTGGCTCACAGGCACCACGGATGGGGCTCTCACTGCCAACAGCCCCGGGCTGGGGTGGAGCCAGGGCCGGTCCCCCAGGCACAGCCCTGTGTGGCACAGGGGCAGCCTTGCAGGCAGCCTGCCCCTGATGCAAGCCCAGCTCTTACCTGCAGCCTCCTGCAGCTCCCGCCGCAGCTGCTGCTCCAGGAGCTCCAAGGAGATCTCCTCCCGTGCCCGGCCGGCTCGCCAGAAGTCCAGGGCCACCTCATTGATGGTGTTGCCACCAAGATTGCTGCGGACACAGAGGGAATTGGCTCAAGATTTCCCCCAGAGCTGAAGTGCTGAGAGCTGCCAGCACCTTCCCTGCAGACAGGCCCCAGCAGTTCTGTTGGCAACAGAGGATTTGCTGTCTAGGATCAGCACATGGAGAGCCAGCCTTCTTCCCAAAGAGCCCCTTTCCACAGGCATCCATGCAGCTGTCTGCCATCCTGCCAGGGGCAGCAGAATCCTCCGTCTCCCTCAGTCCCCAGTCCTGGCTTGGGAAGCCATTAACCTCTCAGGTGACACTTGGCTCCACACCAAACGCTGAACAAGCCACCACAAAGTCCAGGTTAAAGGGCAGAGCACATGGCAGGGGTCCCACTGGAAGTAAAGGTCCAGGGCAGGGATTCATGTGGCAGCCCAGGACTTGGCACAGCATCCTCTGCCCATGGGACAAAGCAGCAACACAGCTCCCACCTAAGGGCTCCTCTGGACACCCATGGGGGCAGCTCTGTGGTGGGGTTTGAGGGTCCCAGGACAGCCCTTCACCCTGGAAAGCAGGTCCAGGAAAGGTGTTCCCCCTCCCCAAGAGCTGGTGAGGGGCTTGCCCCCAGCCCCGAGTGCCCCAGTGAATGGGAACCAGCTGGATGCAGAGCTTGTGTGGGTGGGAGGCAGGGAGGCACAGAACTTGCACCCCATCCTCATGTCAGAGGCTCTGGACACCGAATAGAAGGCAAGGAAAATTAAAAAGCCACCACAGTTTCCCACCATGCCCTCACCCATTGTCAGGGAGAAAACAGCTTGTACTGATCCTCCTCCCAACCCAAAGAGCCCCTTTTGGCTGGACAGACAGACAGCCCTACCCCATCTGCAGGACTGTGCCAGTGTCCACAGAGCCCTGGGGCAGAGCCATCCCTCCTAAAGCAGGTCAGTGTCACACTGCCACCGGGAGTGACGAAACCCCTGCGATGACACTGCTGCAGATCAAGGCACCCTGCTCCCCTCTGCTTGCTGACACAGGATCCTTTCCTGACCTTCATGGCTCGCCAGGAGGACACCAGGCCAGCCCCTGCAGCTGGCAGCACGTCCAGGCAGGGCAGGACCTGCCCCTTCCTCACAGGTGGCACCAGAGTGTGGGGAGTTCCACAGGCACTGGGCACACAGGCAGGGAAACCTCTCTGAGGGAAGCACCAAGCTTGGAGGTTGGAACACTTGCCTGGATGGTGGGAGGTGGAGGAGGAATGCTCTGCTCACCTCCAACCACCAGGAACAGCTCCTGCCATTGCTCAAGGCTGCAATTCCCAAACTGAAGGGGACTCAAGATGCTGATCTCTCACTCTTTAGGGACACTTCAGTCAGGTGCCTGCCTCACATCCTGGTTCTGAGATGTCCCATTTCTCCCTCCAGCTGCATCCCACACAGAGACACTGCTGGGGTGCACTTCCTGGGAAAGGAACCAGCTAAAGCAGGCTCTGCTAATGCCAGGATCAGCCTCACAGCACCTCAGTCTGCAGCCACAGTGGGAATTCCCCAGCTCCTAACAATGCTCCTAACTTCCCACCAAGACCTTCAGGCCCAGCTCTGCTCCCTGGAGTGTGACATCTGCCCAGCTGAGCAGGGTGGCACTGTGTTAACTGACTGTGCTTCCTTGCCTCCAAGTCTAGACTCTGGCTCAGGTGTCCCAACTCAGCTGGACCTCAGCTCCTCCTGCAGATGCCCTGTTCCCAGGGAGGATGCCCAGCATCCATAGGTAAAACTGAACATGGAGGCAACCACCACGAGGGAACGAGGTACCTGTGCCCTCCCCTGCCACCTCAGCCCCTTGTATCACACACCTCTGGGGACAAACACCACTACTGGTGACCAGAAATCACCTGAGGAAGAGGAAGATGGGTCTCTGCTGATCTGTCTGGCCCTTGCTGTCGCGCTGAGCCATGAAGGGCTTGATGGCGTCCAGGAGGCTGGAGTGCAGCTTCTCGGCCTCGTCGAAGATGAGCAGGGCCTGCCTGCAGCGCTGCAGGGTCTCGCTGATCTGCCTCTGCAGCTGGGCCTGGGCAGCAGCAGGGAGAGCAGTCAGGAGCCCCTGGGCTGCCCTGGCATCACCCAGCCAAGCACCACAGCTGCTCCATCCCCTCCCACCCAGCAGGACAGGGCAGAGAACAGGAAGAGCAAAGGCAGGAAAATGAGTGAGGCGAGACAAATTAGTTTAGTAAGTGAAGGAAAGAGTAAAGAAAGACATCAAGTGGTGCAAAGGCAGCCACCCCCCCTGCCACAAACAGACTGATGCCCAGCCCGTCTCTGAGCAATGGCTTCCTGCCCCCAAACCCCCTCCCTGCAGCTTTTATTCCTGAGCATGGCAGTAAATGACACGGAATATCCCTTTGGCACTAGGACTCAGCTCTTTGGCGTGTCCCAAACTTCTTGTACTGACCTCAGGGGCTGAGTGGGACAGAGGGGATGCCCTGAGGCTGTGCAGGCACTGCTCAGCAGAAACCAGCCAGTGCTGGGGGATCCAGTTTCACCCACAAACCCAAGGCACAGCCCCACACAGGCTGCTGGGAAGGACATGAACTCCAGCCCAGCCCATGGAGCATCCCGTGCTGCTGGCTCTCACCTTGTAGGAGTCCACGTAGTTGTGATGTGGGAAGTGGAGGAGGGAGACGAACACCCTGACACAGTCACTCCTCAGCCCGTCCCGGTACAGGTGACTGGCCACCATCCGAGCCACAAAGTTCTTCCCTGTGCCAGACCAGCCATGGAAGGACAGCACCAGAGCCTTGCGGGGCCGTGGGCTCTGCAGGAACCCCCGCAGCGCCCGCAGCACCACGGCCTGGGCCAAGTGCTGCCCGTGGAGCTGCCCACTGAGGTCTGCCTCCAGCCCTGCACAGAGAGAGCACGAGCTCAGCCTCCGCCTGCCAGCACAGGTGGGAACAAGAGGAGAAAACGTGACAGAGCTGCCTGGCCAAGAGCACTGTGAAGTGGCATTAAAGCCACAGGCTGCCTGTGCCCTGCTACATCAGCCTCTGGCCCCAAAAAGACACAAATCTTCCAATGACTCCTTTTTTTCTTTAGGAAAAGGCAGAGATGCTTGGCAGCTGCAGAGAGCACCGATGCCCCAAGGCCCTCCCAAGCTCCCAGCACAGGGTTTGCGTACCAGGAGTCTCAGGGATGGCCAAACACAAAGACACAAGGTAAGTGTGCCCTCCTGACCCAGGGCAGGGTCCTGGGCCAGTTTGGATGCCACTGCATGTGCCTGGAAGCTATGGGATGCAGGCAGGGCTCGTGGCAAGCTGGAGCAGTAAGGAACATGCTGTGCCCTAAGGAACAAACTCTCTTCGGTCTCAGAACTTCAAATGGGACAGGGCTGAGCTCAGCCTCTCACCCTCCCACAGCTCAGCACCCCACTCAGAAAAGGCCTTTACTAACATCACTTTCTAGAATACACTTCAACAGGGAAAAAGCCTCAAAACAAGGCACACAAGCAGCACAGCCCCTACCTGTGATGTTGTTGATTATCCTGCAGTCTCCTGTCTCACAGCACTTGCCGAAGCTGCAGTACCAGGCAGAGAGGATCTCCAGGTAATCCTGGCCCACCAGAGGAAAGCCCCAGCCTGGAAACAGGAGCAGAATGAGCAGAGAGGTTCCAGGAAAGGCTTTTTTACATTTTGGGCTCAGCTGAGCCCTGTTACGGCAATCGTCTCCCGGTGCACGGCCATGTCCCTGCGGGCAGCCCTGGCTGTGGGGAGGGACAGTGGGCTCGGAACCGGCAGCAGCTGGTTCGAGACGGCTCCGAGGGCCCAGAAAGTGCAAGAGCCTCATCCCGGGGTGTGCCAAGGAGGGAGATGCCCGGGGCAGGAGCCCTCGGGAAGGAAGGGCAGCGCCACAGGAACCGGGGCCAGAGCAGCGGCCGGAGCTGCTGCTCCTTCCCGGGCACGGCAGGGGGAGAGAACGGAGCAAGGCGCTTACCTGGCACGGGACCGGCCTCTCCTTCTTCTTGCTGCTTCTCCTCCTCCTCGCAGCCCTCCTGCCACACCCTGCACGCCAGGTACCGCCAATACTGCTTGGAGAGAGCTCCCAAATGCTTCTTCACGGCTTCGTACCTCACCCTGCCCCACGGCCCCCGCTCCGGGACGGCTCCCTGCTCCTCCGCCCAGGGCGCCCGGGGCGGCGGCGATGTCCCGGGGCTGCCCGAGCCGCCCAGGAGCAGCAGCAGCACCAGCACAAAGCAGCCGAGCCCGCGGGGGGCCGGGAGCCGGGCCTGGCCCATGGCAGCGGTGCGGGATCCGGGAACGGAGCGGGGCCCGGGAACAGGGCGGGCCCGGCCCGGTCCGCTGGAGCCGAGCTGAGCTCACTTCCCGAGGCGTTGCTGGGGAGCAGCCGCGGGCGCTGCCGGCCCCGGCCAGACGCGGCTTCCCTGTCGCAGCCGCGGGGACGCGAGAAAAGCCACGGCCGGGGGCGGCGGAGGCTCCGGCCCCGCCCCGGGCCCGGCCAGCCCGGCTGGGGAGGGGGGAAGGCCGGGGAGGCTCCCGGACAGCGCCTCCCGCAGAGCTGCGGCACCAGCAGCCAGTGCCGGGGCAGGCACATAAGCTGGTTTGTAGCCCAGCGGCTCGGCTGAGGTTCGGCAGCCACGGACGCAAGAGCAAATGGCAGCTGTTCCTCAGTGTCCTTTCAAAGGGGACACAAAAATAAGAGGTGAGGAAATAAAAACAAGGGAGCAGCGGGGGAGCAGCAGGGCTGTCCAGGCTGCGTTGGCTGCCTGCTGTCCTGATACCCTAACTGAGCCCAAGGCCAAAATGCTTTGGAAATGGAAAGGATTTCAAGGTTATCCCACACGCTCAGAAAAATAAAAGGAGGATAATAAATAGAATTAATCCAGCCTGGTAGTTGCCTGGTCCAGGTGGATGGGAGGGGGGATGCAGCCCAGGCGTGGAGCAGAGCGCATCACCATCTACAGGTGCCTGCGAATATTACACAGCAGCATTTCACATCCTGCGACGAACAGAACGGCCCCTTCAGTACAAAAACACTGAGGCTGAAACCTGAACACCACTTGCAACAACTTAACCAGACCTAAATGTCGTGCATTAAAGAAATAAATTAAAAATCACACTTGCTGTAGCCATAGCAAAATAAACTGCTGTCAGCCTTACTAAAAACCAGTTGAGGTATCTCAAGCATTTATACAGATTTATAAAAAAATTCATAGCTGGAACACTCAAACTTTGCCCACCCAGGATAACTGCTCTAGCTGAAAAGGGCTTATTAAAAGGGACAGATGCTGTAAAAAATAGATGGTTACGTGTTCCAAAGGAAAAAAGAAAATTCTGAAGGATAAACTGACTGTCCAACACTGCACCAGCTCACAGCATGATTCCTGGGATGTCAGCCCTGCCCAAGTGCAGCACATAGTAAGAGCCAGAAGGAAAACCAGTTCTTTAGGAGGCCCTGGCACAGGGTGCCCAGAGAAGCTGTGGCTGCCCCAGCCCTGCAAGTGTCCAAGGCCAGGTTGGATGGGCATTGGAGCAGCATTGGAGCAGCTTGCTCTGGTGGAAGATGTCCCTGCCCATGGCAGGGGCTTGGGACAGGGTGATCTTTAAGGTCCCTTCCAACCCCAGTCATTCTGGGATTCTCTGAAGGGATTCCCTGAAGCACATGGGTTTTTCCCTTCCTCTGCTGAAACCCAAGTGCAGTTTGCTGGTCCTGAGGTGAGGCTGGCAGCAGAGGCAGCTGCAGGGAGCTGCAGAGCCCCAGAGCTGGTGGGAGGATGCTGAGCTTGGCACTCACGGCTGGTCACTGCAGGCAGTCGGTCCTGGTGAGCAGCAAGCACTGACTGAGGCTCCACCACCTGGGCTCAGCTCAGCTCAGGAGCCATCTGAAGAGAAAACAGCACCACAAGAAATGGTTATGCCTGGCTTATTCCACGCCCCAATGCAGCTTGGGTCAAACAAACACTCAGAGGGAACCTCACAGTCCAGAATTTCATTTACAGGCTCTCCAGGGAAATGCCATGCACCCATCTTTTAGGTTTTTCCCCATTTCCATACAGCAGTTTCTTCTGCACATCCATCTCTGCACGCTGACAGAAGGCAGAAGGAGAAAAGCCTCTCTCCAGAGTTCAGTTATGGATTAGATCACTAAATAAAAGAAAGATCTAGAAGAAAGGGTATGAGAGGAGTCCTTTTCCCTCCTTCCTTTTTCCCCCACAAAGTCCTATCTATCCCCAGTCTCTTAAAAATATTGAGATTCTACAAAGAACCAATCACCAGTCCCACACTTGGGATATATGAACTAAGGACTTCTTTTCCTAATTTTTAGATTCAATAAAAAAAATTGTAGGGAAAGGATTTGAGGACTTCAGGGAAAGTGCTTATTTTCAACCCCCTTTTGTCCTCCATTGGCTCAAAGTTGTTTGTGTTCATTCTTTTGTAAAAGTACATTCATTACATAATCAGAAGCACTAAAATCTCCCAGTTATACAAATTCTCACTCTGTTACTATGGCAAACCACTCCAAAAACACAGAGCAGCAGCACAACAAAGTGCTTGGAACAACAGCTCTCAACTGCCAGTTTCTGCCTGTCAGAACTTAAAAGCATCTGTAGCTGTTGAACTGTTCACACACAAGCAAGAATCCTGTCCCGCTCCCTGAGCAAATTGGCACCTCAAAAATAGAGATGGAGGAAAGGAAAAGTTACTGTCAGCACACAATGCTAGGAAACAAAAAACCCCAGAACATCCTCCCCCACAAAACCCTCAAAATAAACCACAGAAAGCAGTTCTTAGAGAATTCAACAATGCTGAAATCTGAAGTTTCAGTGAGAAACTCTAGTTTAAAGAAAAACAGGTTTCACACCAGCAGTTGATGTTACAGAGCAGGTCCAAGATCCCTGAATTCAGAAATACTTCACCTCCTGTCTCTGAAACACTCCCTGTTGGGGCACTACGGCTTTGCTGCAGCCTGAGTAAAGCTCTGCTCTTGGGGGAGCAGTGACTGCCCATCCCAGCAGAAGCTCAGAAAGGCAGCCATACACCTGCCAGCTCTGCAGACACCCCTCACAACCCAGCATTCATCCTGGCTCCATGGAACCAGCTCCTGGGACACTGCCAAGGGCTCAGCCCAGTGCCCAGCAGATGCAGGACATGGGATCCATGGGCAAAACCACACCCCAGTCTAGGTGTGTTTTATTTCTGTATCCCTTTGGTACACTCTTCCTTCCTTACCTACAGGCCTCTGGGAAACCAGCTGCATTTTTTGGATATACATGACTGGAGTAAATGCCATTGACAGCCATTAGCAGAGGAGTAACTGGGAGACAGCAGCAGCAAAACACTTCACACATTCAGCCCACCACATGTTGGAACTCGAGAGAGACAGACAGGGGAGGGAGAGAGAGACTTAGGCAATCCGTCAATGTTGCTTTATTAAAATCTTTATTCACACAATGTTGCTTTATGTGGGATCTGACCCCGGGGGATAGAAGTAGAAAGTCATGATTGCATTCTGTTTGCTTATTAGCAACTCCATTTGTGCAGCAGCTCCCAGGGGCCTCCTCTGGCACATCTGAGAGGGGAGTCTGTTTCCAGCTTCCTGCTCCAGCTGCTGCAGTAAATAAATTACCTTCTTAATAAATTAGTACTTTTGAGTTGAAGTTTGTTTGGCAAGACACACACCAGTTCATCAGCTGCTGAAGGAGAGCTGACTCGAGTGTCTCCTCCCCCCTGATGGCTGACTTGGGAAAGAGGAGGTAAATAGCAGATGGCTGATGAGGCTCTTTAATTAGTTCTTGATTTCTGTGCTTCCAGTGCTCTGGTATCATTGATAAGCATGACACAACCAGTGTGTAACATCTGGGGCCAGTGGGTGACACGTGCACGATGAACAAGAATCAGAAGGTGCCTGGAAAACCTCCTCCCCAGAGCACCTGCCTTACAAACAATGTTATTTTTCAGAGATTCAAGCAGACCCAGCTGGCACGTGGATGCTGCTGCTCCTTTCCTTTGCAATGGTTACAATTTAAAATCTCTCAGGGTTCTGTGTTCAAGCAAAACGACCATCACTGCCAAAAGGGCAGAAATTGTCACAAGGCCAAAACCAGATCTTCCTGATTTTGGTTTAAGAGAGGAATTTATTTTTCTTTCCTGCTGCAGAACACCAACCTCCAATAGTGTTTACAGCAACGAGAAGCATCAATATCACAAATAAAAAACCAGTCCTAAAAAACAACCATTTCTTGCTTCCTTCTACTGATAATGCTGGACTTCATGCCCTTTGTCCACAAGTAAACCAAAATAAACCAATACCCTGCTTTAAATCTTTGACATTTATACTGGGGAAAAACCCATCCCCAGGTTCCATCTGACAGCAAAAGCTTTAGCTTACAGCAATATGTAAGTCCTCAACACTAATTTAACTTCAAAGACTGAAAGACCTTTTTTTGAGCCCATTATTAAATCAAATGTAAATACCAAGAGTTATCATATAGAAATCAAAAATTAAATGTTGGTAGATCCCTCCCAAAATATTAAGAGCTCATGTTTAAGCTCAAAGAGAAGAATAAGCTTTAAGAAATGCTACAAGCCACCAAATCTGAAATTTCCTGGGAAACAGCTTAAACCAGCACTTGCTCCTGCCCCACAGACACCACCCACAGCTTCTAAAGCATGTTCTGTTATCAGGGGATAGAGGCACGAGCTCCACAGTGTCCTCACAGCTGGCTGTGTGTCACCACCCTGACTAAGAACTCCAGTAAATAACTCCAGATCCCATCCCATCATCTCATTGCTCTGTGGCATCTATGATTGTGGCCAAGTCCAGAAGAGAGCAAGAATAACACAGAATTCAATCCCAGGTAAACAGTCACATTCTACTTTCAAGATGCTCTTCTCATGCAATGAGAAAAAGACTTCAACAAAATAAACCAATGTCTGCATTTTTCAGATAAAACTCTCTCCCTGACACCTCCTGGATCAGGTGTGGCCACGGTGCAAGACCAGAAAACAGCTCTTTACCTGCGTGCCACACTGCAGTCAGAGAAATCCTGACAGGAAAATCAAGGAAAAGGGTTCAAACTGACATTTTGGTGCTCTTGCTCTCAAGTTCAACAACCTGAAGTCACTTGCTGAAGGGAGCTCCTTCCTTACATTAAGGACCATGCTGGCTGAACACTGATGCAAAGCTGTTCCATTTGGAAATAGTGATGAAGCTGCTTCTCTTCTGGAGACACAAACTGAGACCTGTCTCAAGGTGATCAGTTTTATGATACAAACTCAGCACAGGCTGCAGTGCTGAAGGACAACAGGACTAGCACAAGATGAGTGCTGCAAGCCTGCCCTGAAAAGCCAACTTTTCTCTATCTATGCCAAAACCAATAGTGAGGATTCCTGGATGACCATCTCAGGCAGAACATTGCAGTGGGGGTTGCAAGAAGCAGCTGGGGAAGGCAGAAAACCTCCTGGAGGTGATCACAGCTTCTGAGCTCAGCCACAGCCAAACCAGGTGAACGTGGGACCCAACACTGGTGTCCCCAGAACAGCAGTGCTGAGCTGTGGTCACAGGCAGCAGCAGAAAGCTCTCCCAGGTGAGATGAAGACAGACCATAGCTCAGGGATGTCTGTACACCTCAGGTGACTGCTGGTGACTGGGGAATTCCAGCAAACACCTCTTCCCCCAGTCCCACATGCCCAGAGGCTCCACAGCACTCAGGGCTCACAGTAAAGTAGCCTGACCTCACTACACAAACTGCTTCCAAGGACAGATTCTGTCCTCCTCAGCTGCAAGAGAATGAACATTTGGTTATAATGGACACAGAACTGCAAGACCTGCTCAGACCTTGCCAGATTAATTTAAAAAAAAAGAGGGACAAGACACATGGAAACTTACTATAACCCCTTAAATATCAAGTGCTGTATAACCACCCTGTCCTCTCCTAAATCTCCAACCCTGTGGATAAACCTTTGATAGGACTTTAGCAAAAACACTGAAGCATTATCACATAGGAGGCAGCCACCTTTCCCAGCCTTTTATCAAGGAAAAGCCAAGTGAGCAGCAGAGGTCCCCTCTCCCACCCCTCAGACAATCAGAAGAACATCCCACCCCGGGGGGGTGGCACAACTCTTCAGTCCAACAGTTATTTTATTCACCCCTGCTCGTTCTCTAGAGAAGCAGTAAAATGCCCAACCAGCTCAGAGCTGATTGTGTACAACCCTGAATGAACAAACTCGCCAGAGGAAAGGGGGAAGAGAAGGGGAGGGGACTGTACTGTTCATCTCTGAGGCCCCCTCCAGATCCAGTCCACAAAGGAGTTCTGTGTTCCACACTCTGCACCAGCACCAGAGCCGTGTTTATCCAGCGCGACGCCCACTGCCGGCAATGGACACGCCACAGTGGCCATGGTGCCACCACGGGGGCTGAGCCATGCCAGGCCTCCTTCCCACCTCTCACTGCTGCCAGCCCGAGGAAAAAGCCAGTGTCACCTCCCTTCCTCTGGCTCGGGAGCTTTCCTGTTCATGTCAGTCCATCTTGGCCACAGCCCTTCTGAACTGATTGTGCTGTTTTTCTATCACTTGTTTGTTTGTTTTTTAAAAAAGGAGTTTCATCTCGTGTTCCGCTACGATTACAAGTGAGACAGAGTCATCCTGTCTTCCACCAGCACAACATCTGGCCCAAACTGGTCTGTGCACTGCTTCACTGTAGCCAGGATGCTGAGGAGCCGCTGGTCCAGGGCGTCCAGGTGAGGGGTGGAGAGCACAGGTGAGATGGGGTCATGCGACATGGCAGTTTTTAAGGCAGACTTCAGGACTCCGTTCTTCAGGTAATTCAGCCTGTTCCAGGTAGAAACCCGGATGCTGCAAAAGAAACAAACACACATCACCACACCAGGGTCCTGCTGCATCCCACTGGGAATAGCGGCTCATCAAGAATGGAGACTCATTGCAGAAGTGGGTTTGGGATGGCAGGGTCCAGGTGGAACTGCATCACAGACAGGATCTAATGAAACTTGAAAACTAAAGGTGGTGAAGAATCAATCTGGTGTGACATAACTCTGATGTTACACAGGAACTGCATCACAGACAGGATCTAATGAAACTTGAAAACTAAAGGTGGTGAAGAATCAATCTGGTGTGACATAACTCTGATGTTACACAGGAACACTTCTGGCTGAGAGCACGAAGGTCTTCGGTCCTGCGGCCTCCCAGACACAGTTTGGAAAGGAAGAAAAGGAAGGAAAATCAACAAATTCAAACAAAGGTCACCTCAGGAAGAGCATCACTGACCAATAATGAATCACAGAGGACAAAAGGCAGTTGACCAAACTTCCAAGAAAGAGAACACAGCAGTGACCTTTCCTCTTCACTGGCCACTGAGCTTGCTTGTGTCAGCCCATCTCAGCTCTCATGTTCTGTGAAGTCTCTTGGGATTCTCCCCCAAACCTTTCAGGGCCAAATCTTTAGCATCCCTGGTCTAAACTCTTGAGTTTGATGGCTTCCAATAGAACCAGTAAAATAAGAAAGTGTTGTAACAAACCTATAGTTAAAACAATTATGCAAATTAATTATCATACGGCATTTGCCCAGTACCAGAAAGAAGGAAAATCTGAAAAGCTGGAAATTGCCAAGTCTCTTAAAGAGATAAACTTCTCTGGTTGCCTTTGGGGGAATCAAGATGACAAAGACTCCAGAAGAATCTCAGTAAAGTACAAAATGAAACATACATTTAAAATTAACGTAGGAAAACTAAAGAATTTAAAACTTCTTTAAACATTCTCCATATGACTTTTAAAAGGATCTTGCAGAACGTAGGCCAGGTGTACTGCTGCATGCAAGGAGCTGTGCTTAGTGCAAGCAAGAGAGCTCAGGCTTTCTGCAAAGGTCCCAGGTTTCAAAGGACCCAGAGAATTTGGAAGACAGAACCTTTCAAGGACAAGCTTCACAGACAAACTCCATTTGGAAGGCTTGAAGGAGTTAATGTTGAAGTAACAAAGTCAGGAATTGATATCTCTGTATTTTTCTTCCTGGAAATTCTCACAGAATCCCAGAATGGCTTGGACTGGAAGGGACCTTAAAGAACATCTCATTCCACCCCCCCCTGCCATGGGCAGGGACACCCTCCACTAGATCAGGCTGCTCCTGATCAACCTGTCCTACTGGGCCTTGGACATTTCCAGGAATGGGGCAGCCACAGCTTCTCTGGGCAACTTGTGCCAGAGCCTCCTCAAAGGGAAGAATTTCTTCCCAATATCCCATCTAACCCTGCCTTCTATCAGGGTGAAGCCATTCCCCCTTGTCCTGTCCCTGCAGGCCCGTGTCCCAAGTCCCTCTCCAGCTCTCTTGGAACCCCCTTAGACACTGGAAGGGGCTCTGAGGTCTCCTCAGGCTTTTCTTCTCCAGGCTGAACACCCCAGCTCTCTCAGGCTGTTCCAGAGGAGAGGTACTCCAGCCCTTGGAGCATTTATTTCCTGATGAGAAGTAGCAATGGCCTGGTAAGAGACTGGACACAGAACAGAAATCAAAAAGTCACAGCCTCTGAAAAAAACCCACAGCTCACAAGGCCAAAGCAGAAACAAAACTCTGTAAAGAAACTACACATTTTGCTTGAGAGGAGCCCCCTGAGCAGGGCTGCAGCTTTCATTAGAAACCATGTTTGAAATGATTGAATTGCCATCCTTCAGTACTGTCAGGGAGAACTCAAGCTGGGATGTGCAGGTTGATTTGTCAGGAGCTGGATGGGATGGCTGCAGATGCAAAGTGCCTGTCACACTGACTGTGGACAGAGCTGAACCAGTGACCTGGAGGTGAGACCACTTTCTGCAGCCAACCCTCTGCCTTCATGAAAATGCACTCCTCAGCTTCTTGGGCAGTGCCCATCCATCAAACAGACAATATCTCAAAAAAGTACAGCACTGTGGACCCGAGCAAACCTCTTCAGGTTGCCAGAAGACTCCCAAGTTCATGAAATTGTAAACCTAAGGACAGCAATTACACAAGCAAAGTGAACAGCAGCCCTGTGCTTCACTTACATGCAGCACTGATAGAGAGGAGCCAAGATGCTTCTTTCATCAAGGGCAGGGTTTCCAAAGCTGAAAAGCAAAATGAAAACCAAGTGAACCAGCTGAACTCCTAGGGTTGTTCTCAACATAAAAAGCTTTGTAAAGAATTCAGAGAAATCAATACTAGGCAATTTCATGCTCCAAGAGATCAAATCATTTAAATTAAAATATAAACAGGCCATGACTAGTCACAGATATAACTTTCATCAGCATCAGCTAAGCAGGTAAACAGAAGCAGCACAGTATACCCAGTTCTTTATCAGACCAAGGCACCTTAGACAGGCATTTCAGAGGAGTTTAGAAATGATGCAGGGATAAGGAATAACTGCTATTCTGGGCATGCAGAATAGGAGCTTTGCCTGTCTGACACAGCTGGGCAGGGAAGGAACCAAACAGCAGCAAACATTAGAGCCACAGTTCACTAACAAGGTGATCAACTTAAACATTTTAAGCCAGAAGGCTTCCACAGTATTTCAAGCTTCATCCAAACACATGCTGGATTTATTTTTCATAGTTTCATCTTCCTCATAATACTGTTTTCAACTAAGAACTTTCCCTTCAATGAAGATAAGTTGCTGCAGGGGCCTGGCCTTATGCTGCCCAAATAATTATGTTATTTGTAGCTTTAAAACTGAGTAAGTTCCCAGGTCATGGCACCAAGGACCATCTGCTCTTACTTGCATGGTTTAGTTTTAGGTAGCCCTGTAAGAAACTAGGAATTGGGGTCAATGATCCTTATGGGTCCCTTCCAAATTGAGATTTACCATGGTTCTGTGAAAAACTGTCCCCTACCCATTATTTCTAACGATCTGGTCCTTCACAGAAAGGAAACTCACTGCCACTCCACATGGGAGTGCCCACCAGAAAAATAAATAATCCAGAATTGCTGGACTAAATTATGAGAAAGGCAAATAGATGACTTTTATGTTTTTAAGAAAAATTAATCCAATTGTTATGATTTAAACAAGACTGTGTCTTCAATATGATTTTTAACCTAAACTATAGTGGACAACATACAAAAAAAACTATAGCAAGGATAGAAGAACTCATATTCTAAACACATTTTTAAAACATTTTTGTTCAGGTAAGAGTTAATGTCCACATTTAGAACATCATCATTTTTGTGTTTGGTATCATTTCTACCTACATTCTAAACTTTTAACCTTTCAAAGCCAGAGTAGGCATATCCAGAAGGCAGGGAATGCCAAATTATTCAGAAACACATTTTAGAAAGATCTGCTTTTATTACAGCACTCACTTATACTGACTGGTGATAAATAAAAAAGCCAAATTTTTTTTTCAATCTTCCATTAACTAAAAGCCTAAAAGGAAAGGGTATTTCTGGGGATAGGAGGTGAGACTTGAGCAAACCTCTGAAAGTTGTTTTGGCAAATACTGTGTTAACTGGGGAGTTTCTGTAGTTTGAGCAGGACTTTGCCAAGACAGAAGAGTATCTAGAGCACAGAGCAGAATCATAGAGTCCTAATATGGTTTAGGTTGGAAGAGTTAAAGCTCATCTTGTTCCACCCCCCTGCTGTGGGCAGGGACAGGTGCTTCAAGCCCTGTCCAACCTGGCCTTGGACACTTCCAGGGATGGGGCAGCTTCTCTGGGCAACCTGTGTCAGGGCCTCCCCACCCTCAGAGGGAAGAATTCCTTCCTAATATCTGATCTAAACCCACTTTCTTTCAGTTTGAATCTATTCCCCCTTGTCCTGTCAGCACCACAGCCTTTGAAGGAGCCTAACATTTGGTGAGTAATTTCTGATAAAAAGGAAAGACTATTACAAACGATACTAAAGAATAAATTAGCGAGAGAGAGAGAGAGAAAACAGAGAGAGACAGAGCAGATAAATGCATGCCCTTGCACTCACCACTGCCAGGCCAGCAGGGCTGTGCCCAGGCTCACCTTTTGGCATTGTCCAGCAGGATGAGCATGCTGGCTCCCTCGTCATCCTGGAAGCTCTCGTAGTGGTGCCGGTCGGCGTTGCCGATCAGGTAGTCGAAGATGGCCGTGTCGATGATGTCCAGCAGGCGCGGGCCCGAGTCGTACGGGGACGTTTTCTTCACGGCGTCGCAGTAGCTCTCGTCGTACTCCCACCTGCAGCCCAGGGGAACCAAGCAGCCCTTCAGAGAACCACCCCTGCTCAGCAACAGCAGCTACAGCTGCCCTCGGTCACTGTGAGTGCACCAAGAAAGGGGAGCAGCCCAGGCTAGACAGAGAAGGAAGAGCTGGACAAGTGCTTATGAGAAGAGTAAAGCCTGCATTAACATCCCAGCCCACGGAGCAAGCTGGAGTTTCAGTTCAAAGATACACAAAGATCATCTTCCTATGGAAAACAATGTCAGAGTTTGCTTCCTCACAACTCCACAGCAGCTGGGCTATGTTATGGGAAGATTACTGCCATGTCTTGCCTCCCTCAACTTCCCAAGGAACACTTCAGTACTGTGTGTGTTTCCATTGCCTTGAGCTGTTTCCATCTGGCTTTCCAGCCAGCCTCTTTCTTTTTTATTTTTAATGCAAGTATCCTAATCGTGGTTAATCATGAGCCCCTCTGCCTCCAGGAGAAGGGCTTCACAGTGGTCACTCTCCCTCACTCACAGCTGTCTCTTTCCTCCCCCTCTTCCTTTGCAGAGTATCTCACCTTCTTCTCCACTGACATCATTTCAAGCTTCCCTCTTATCTCCTTCTCCTTCTCCACGTAATCTCGTGACACGGATGTCATGTCTCAATTCTCCAAAGCTAGGATTTTCAATTTCCTCATTTTCTTCTTTACAGCTTTCAAAACTACTCAACACCACCACCAAAACAGCCAAATCTCTGGTGTATACCTTTTCCATCTGTCAACCTAAATAACAGGGACATCTTCCACATAAGGACTGAAACAATCCTTCACAAAGTAGCAGTTAAATTGGAAATGCCTTAAACCATCTGTGATTTGGAAACAGAGATGGAAGAAACACAAGCTGGAGAGACTTGCTGACATGCTCAAAACTGCAGATAGTCATAAAAGTAGGAAGATCAGAATTTAATGACTACAACTGCCACATATCCCACTTCATCTTCTAGTGGTCTGGAACCAGAGATCCCAGTATCCTACCTTTCTTCAAGGTAACCAAATCAGAGAGCTTAAACATTTATCTTCTAAATGTTCCTAATAACAGGTCACACATGCTCCTCAAATGCTGTGCCTAAACCCCCTAGGAAGAGGGATCTTTGCACCAAGGTCCAACTCACACTCAAGGTGTAGCACAAATCCACACAGCAACAGTCTCAGAACCTCTTCTCCTTGTCCTGGATACATTTCTTATGCTGCATCCCACTCTCCCTCAAGTGTTTCTTTTTCTCTCATTTTACTTCAGAGCAGTACTTAATCTCCTTGCCACAATTTTTCAGATATACTGTTCTCTCTCTCATTTTCCATGCAGTCTTTCAAGAGAGACTTTTATCCAGCACTCATTTCTAATAATTTATATTGTATTAGCACAGGCCTTGGAAGGTCAGGGATTTTGTCTATTACACCTCCATTAAAAATTACGTACACTAATGTGCCTGTGTGAATTATGTTCAAAAGGTCAACTCAAAACAGCAGCTAGAGCAGGAAAAAATTCTTACAGAGCTATTTTCTCACAATTACCACGCACAGAAAAAGGAGAGAGTGACACCAAGAACCTTTAATTCTGATCTCTCAAAGTGAAATGTGCAGCGTGACATGGTGAAAAACACCAGAACCTTGTAACCTCATCTGAAGGAGGCAAGTGTGAGTTTAAATACACCAAGTATCAAATCAGCACAGGAATCAAGCTAAACCCCTGTGTAAGCAGGCAGGGTGTGATGAAAAGGAGCCTCTCAACAGGAGGAACAACTCCAAGAAATTCATCCTGTTCATCACGGCAATGTACCATGTACTAAACACAGCTGATTTTGACCTGCTGGGAAAGAAAAAACATCTGCTGCTCAAAATTCAGTCTGTGCATTTTATACCCTAAGACAATTCAACACAGCCTCTGGATGAGAGTCTTTCTGAGAACAATCACATTACTGAAATCAAGGGATACTTTAGATAAAGGACTGAAAATCTCTTCTAATCACTTTCAAGTTCAAGACAGATTTGGAAAAATTTACTCAGCTCAAACCCATTTGTTCTGCTCATGGCAAAAACATCCCCACCTCAGGAACTCAAATGTGTTACATCTATTGTAGAATGCTGCTTAAAGAAGGACAAATGTGGGATTTAGCATTCTTTACATGCTGAGCATGGTCACCAAATACTGATGGCATTCAAAGCAAAGGATTTTCCAGGGTGTGTTGATGTGGCACAGCCTGATTTTTTGGTAACAGGGGAAGGCCACAGGTTTGGCTTCTGTGAGAAGCTGCTGGAAGCTTCCACCATGTCAGACAGAGCAAATCCCTGATGGCCAGCAGTGGAAGCATGACAAGTGACTCCCCAACACAGAACCTAGATGGGATTGACCTCTGGGCACTGTGGGATCTTGTGACAGTCTTTGAATTGGTGGAAGTTGACAATGGTACCTACAAGCAGCAGTTTTTCTTCTCGTCAGAGAAGAGGAGGAAGTGAGAACATGTGAGGGAAAACAACATGGAGACAGACACCAAGGTCAGTGGAAAAAAAGAGAGGAAAGAGGTGCTCCAGGCATCAGAGCTGAGATTCCTCTGCAGGCCATGGTGAGGACTATGGTGAAACAAACTGTCACCTTGTAATGCATGAAGTCCATGGGGGATGCAGAGATCCATGCACAGCCCACGGGAAAAGTGCTCATGGCTGAGTGGGTGGATGCCAGAGAAAGCTGTGGTCCAGTGAGAGACCTGAATAGAGAAAGAGGGCCCCTGCTTCCAGAGAAAGAGAGAGCTTGCTTGCTCTCTCCTTGCTCCCAGACTGGAGCAGCCTATCCTAAAAAGACTGCACCCTGTGGACAAGTGACCCACGCCACAACATTTTATGACAACTGTTTGCCTGTGGGAGGGACCCTATGGCACAGCAGAGAAAAGACTCCTCTCCCTGAGTGAACAGGAAAAGATTTCCAATGATGAACTGACAAAAACTCCCACAACACCCTGTCTTTGAAGTCCATGGGGGATGCAGAGATCCATGCACAGCCCACGGGAAAAGTGCTCATGGCTGAGTGGGTGGATGCCAGAGAAAGCTGTGGTCCAGTGAGAGACCTGAATAGAGAAAGAGGGCCCCTGCTTCCAGAGAAAGAGAGAGCTTGCTTGCTCTCTCCTTGCTCCCAGACTGGAGCAGCCTATCCTAAAAAGACTGCACCCTGTGGACAAGTGACCCACGCCACAACATTTTATGACAACTGTTTGCCTGTGGGAGGGACCCCATGGCACAGCAGAGAAAAGACTCCTCTCCCTGAGTGAACAGGAAAAGATTTCCAATGATGAACTGACAAAAACTCCCACAACACCCTGTCTTCCTGCGCTGTTGGTGGGAAGGAAGGAGGGGTTGGGGTGAAAAAAGGTGTTTTAAAGGCTTATTTTACTTCTCATTATCCTCCTCTGACTCTGTTAATAATAAATCTACTTTATACCTTTAAATTTGGACCTGTTTTGCCCTTAGAGTGGTTTTTTTTTCACCTAGCCCTTATCTCAACTCATGAGCCCTTTGTTAATTTTCTTCCCTCTCCTCTGCCCAACTGTAACAGAAGAGGGTAAGTGAACAACTTTTGTGAGTGCCTGGTGTTTGGCCAGTGTCAAACCATGACACAGGGCCTAGCTGAACTTAAACCAGTTTCACAACTCTGAAAATGAACTACAAGGATCATGAAATTAGGTATGGCACAGTGCTGCCACGTTTCAGGGGCCACAGCATCAACAGAAGGTCCAGTGGCACAAGAGAAGAATCTTAGCTTGCCCACAGACAAGATTTTCAGAGGTTGGAGTGACTGCATTGTGGAGCTCTGTTCCAGCCAAAATACAGGAAAAGGACAGTGCTTAATATTGTGGAAAACAATGAAGATTTTTTTATTTCCTCATTTCAATTTAAATTTTATTCTGGACTTCCTAGCTTCTACTGTTGTGCTAAGAAAACTGTTGACACAACCGTAGGTTTTGAAAGCACTCAGAGCTCTTTAATTAACCAAGGGTCATTTTAGTGCAAATTATCATCTGTAAGGAACAGCACTGCCACGTTCTCATACCTGGCCAGTTTGCCCTCCCGGTAAGTCCTGCCCCAGGGGTGCCGGTGCTTCTGCAGGGGCCAAACGTCCGGCAGCCACAGCGTCACTGAGCCCTCCATGATGTCCCCATCTGCACAGGCTGGCTCTGTCTCCCGACAGTAGTAGCACTTCCCATAGAAGCAGGTGTTATTGCCTTAAAAAGAAAAATTAAGAGGTATTAATCCAAGGAATCCAACTGAAATTCAGGAGCCTGTTGTTGCAGCAGAAGCTTCCCCATGACAGGATTTCACTGCACTTGTCTTCATGGTTCCTGTCTCTGAGAGGAAGAGGCTCAAAAGAGCCACAAACATCCATTCATTCAGAGCAATTAAAGAATAATATGAAAAGGAGAGAGCAATTATATTTTCTAATGACTTTATCACTTTGAGAATTAATACAACATCACACTCTCAACAAGTTTTTGTGATCCTTTCCTAGTCCTGAGGACCTTGACTTTGCAATGTTAACGCTGCTTGTTGTTCACATTTCATACTTCATGTGTCAGATTTCCCACTTACTTGAAAAAGCTGACCAAAAAGAGATAAGTGAAAAGAGACACATCAGAACTCAAAGGGATTTGGCTCCCTGAGACCTGCCACATGTCTCAGCTACTTGAGCTGACTTGGAAGAGGAGACAGAAACAAGTATCATTCTCACATGATCGAGGAATGCAGATCTGTCAAAGTTTCATCAGTGTCTTCTGACTGGAGAGGAGCAACAAAATGCTGCAGCCTTTAGTCCACTAACTATGCATCAAGTAATCTGGAGCAGCCTGCATTAGTAGTTTTAACCTTTTCTATCTTCCCCTTCTTAACTCACCTTTCCTTTAGTCCACTAACTATGCATCAAGTAATCTGGAGCAGCCTCCATTAGTTTTTTATCTTGCCCTTCTTAACTCACCTTCGCTTGATCCTCACCAAGTTAAATCCAGTTCCATGCTCACAGATGTTCTTCCAAAATATTCTTCAGCTATGTCTCACTTGGTTGTGATTACCCTCTGTCCTTTCTTCCTTTGGTTCTACATCCAATATCCTCCCCAGAGCAGGCTCAGTCTCCAAATGCCATGTTCTTCCCTTTCCACCCTCACACATCCCTGCCTCTCAGCCCTCCATCCAGACCCTGTGCTCCCTGTGCTGACAGTATCCTGTCAGACAACCTGAGGATGTCACAGACCATCACCAACACAGAGCTTGCAGACCAGATCTCTTATTTGTATGGAAAGCCTGCAAGTCTTTCTTCCCATCCAGGGGCTGCAGCAGATCTAGCAAGAGACAGAATTCTTTGAGATTCTAGCTGTAAACCTGCACTGAGTATGAATGAATTCTCTCTTCTTCAAAACCTCAGGAACTTGGTCAGATTTGGCCTGACAAAAGATCATAACCTCCTCCACAGATTGACCCATTTCTTAGCTCCTGTCTTTGCAGAACAGCAGTTCCAAGGAATCTAAGGAGGAGCAATGAATGTTTCTGGAGCCTTACTTCTCTGCTAGCAAACAGCTTGGCTATCTTGGCTGAAATTGGAAAATGTAAAGCCTGCCTGAGGCAGGAACCCCATGTGAATGCCAGGAGAGGCTGACAAGGCTGAGCTGAAACTTTCATCTGGAGGTTGCACCTTGTAAGTGGCAGTGTCAGGCAGCAGGTGAGACTGCCAGCAGTGCTGCTAACAGGAACATTACCAGGGGTAAGGAACAATCATCTCTGGAGCCTTCTGATTAGGAAATGAAACAAACAAACAAAAGAGTAATAATTGGATGGTTTATGAAAGCCTCAGGGAGTTAAGGCTGCAGCATAAGTAATTTCTTGGTGCTTAATGACCACCTGGTAGGAGTTCACATTAATAGCTTCTATTATGTGTCCTTCACAGCATTATTACTGTAAACAACACAGGGAAGTTCTGCCACTGGTTGTAAATGCTCTGCAGGCTCTGATGCAGCACAAACAACATCTAATACCAACCAGTGTGTCAGCTCTATAAATTATCCCAAATCACCACTCTCTTCACATTAAATACAACTTTATTCTTTTCTTTTCAGGTCTAATCACAGACTTTTCTAACCATTTTTGACAGCAGAGAGAAAATTCTTATTCAAAAAATAGAAATCTCATCTGTAACAGCAGCATGAGGGAACACTACTTGAAGAAAACCAAGTCCTCCTCCCCCTCCAAACGGGGCCAAGATCTCTCCTGGCACAGAAAGAGCTTCCTGCATCATGGCTAACTGCTCTACAGTTGTGTCAGGCTCCCACGGCTCTTTTTTCCCATTAAGCATTTTTCCTTCCCTGGGCAGCACAGTCCATGGAATGCACTCACCCACAGTCATGAAGGTGCCCAGGAGCTGCTCCGTGGCCACTGGTTTGATCTCCGTGCGCAGATTCACAAACCTGCCAACCACCAGCGGGGCCCGGCGGAAACCCAGGATTCTGATGTGGGGTGAAAAAACACGACCTGAGAATTTGCAACATAGGCAGCAGTTCAAAATTAAAACAAAAAAAAACCCTCACAGTCTTTGTCAGAGATGATAGAGACCAAAGAGAAAAGCTGAAGCCCTGCAGGAGCCTCCTCTCTTCTCTGAGGCAAGGAAAGTAAACTCATTTTTCATATGTGCCTGGAAGTTAAACTTTATAGGCCATCAGTGACACTCCTTTACTAAAGCATTTGCAGCAGAGCAACAGAGGATGCACCATGCTCCAACTCTCAGAACTCAGACCTCACACCAGAAATATCCATCCTGTGTCTGAAGCAGGCTGAAGCAGTAAAACCATATGGCCCGTGGGCTGGTCAGCTGGAAAGATCATTTCTAATTTGTGGGAACCGCTATCTATTAAAATGTTATGCTTAAGCCCAATTCAATTACACTTGAAAGCAACCAATCCAAGAGTTGTTTTGTTTGGCACAAGGAAGGAGAAGGGAAGAGAGAATGGTAGAACAAAAGTGAATGCCTGAGAAGTGCCTGGAAAAACAAAGGTGGGAAGAACAACCATAAAACTTGCAGTTACAAGATCCAGGTTCCATTCCCATGCCTGCCACAACCTTTGCTCAGTGACCACAAATGACTCGGGTGTTTGTAATGGAATTTTAGAAGTGCTTAAAGAAGTGCAAAGATCAAAGGAGTGTCAGCCCCAGCTCTCTTAATGCACTTTTGACACACTTTGGATAGCCTTTGCATCTCAGAAAAAGATCCTGAAAAGGTATTCTTGAAGAATATAGAGGTGCAGAGCCATAGAGAAAGACCAGAGGAAAAAAAAAAAGGCACAAAATCATGACCAAATGGACAGCAAAGAAGAGTTAAGTGAGATTTGGACACTTGAAAGAGGCTTTGATTGAATGTTCAATCACTACTTTTTCAGGGAACCTGAAACCTGTATGCTCCTTGAAAGCACAAATGGACTGACATCTGGCTCCACTATCTTGTTTTGGTTTTAATATACCCTGATTTCAGCCCACCAGCACAAGCTGGCTGTAGCAGCAATGGGTGTTACTCAACTAGTTATCATCCTAGATACTCTAATTCTTCCTAGAATTACTGATTTCTACCTCCTGTGCAATGAGTTCCACAGGTGAATCAGGACTAACAGACATCTCTGTTACCACCTATGAGTTTAGTCACAGTGATAAGGCTCTTATCTATGTACTGAGAAACCTCAGCTTGAGTTTAACCATTCTATCCTTTGTTATATTTGTCCCTCCTTATTCCTTTTCTCAAAATTTAATGTGTTTTCACCTCCAAATCTTCCTATGAGGAAACAGAGACTGTGCTCATTTATGTTATGTGAAATTGCAGCTCTAACACCATTTCATAACTATTGACATTCAGTGTCTGGTGTTTTCTGTCCCATTCTTTGAACATCCTATAATTTTCATTTTTTCCTGTAATTGCACCTCCAGCACAGGTCCACAAAACCACCTGGGTACCCCAAGCACAATTACTATATGAATAACTGGATTTCCTCTAGGATGCACAGATTCATATTTACTCTAGACTAAATTGTTAGTTTGGACATTAGTCTTGACTTTTTAGTGAACTGGACATGAACTTAGCACATACATTTAGTATTTCAGACTTTTCCACAGCATTTAGCTAAGCTCTTTCTCCCCCGTAATATTAACTAGAGTGGTTTCAGGGCTCATTCTCCTTTCCAAACTTTTCACAAGTATCTAAAATATTGCACTCTTGAACAGATCTTAGAAATGAAATTTCACAGAACAAACTAATTCTTCTTTTGCCTTCAATATGGTAATTGGCAGGTTAGAGGTAGCTCCTATCTGAGGTGTATTCTCCAAAGAACCCCTTTTTTCTGGTACTTTCCAAAGACAATAAAACCAGATAAAGCAGTAATTCCATACCTATCCAAGTGAAAGGCTGCCACTTCTGCGTTGTGTCTGTCATAGCCAGCATAGGGTTCTCCTTCCACTATATAATCCCTGGCATATCTGGAATTGAAATAAGTGAAATGAAGTGAGTCTGCGCAGAATCCCTGTCAATTCTGCTGTTCAGAGTAACAATTTAATAATAGTTAAAAGTCTCTGGGACACCTTCCAAGTGACTGCCAATGGGAGAGTGCAAAAACATCAATGAGATTAAAGTGTCCAGACTGTTAAAGTGGTAAATAAGGAGGAACGGTCAGTGATGTACAGTGGTGTCCAGAGCTTGGGAAGCAGCTCACATTCCAACTAATAAATTTTAATCCAACCATATACCAAGTCACATCTTAGAACAAAGAGCACAGATCCTGCTATGGAGCAGGGGTTATTTATACTGGAAAGCAGCCAAGTCCACAGATGATTTTGGGGTTACAAAGAATTGTACATTAACAATTATCATTAACAAATACAATCTTATATTGTGGAAGAGATGGCAAATGCAATCTTTAGTAAATAGAAAATCAGCAAGTGTGAACCTCAGGACAATACTGGGTATAAACAGAGCCTTTAATCTGGCAGAGAAAAGACATAATGAACAGCAAAAAATAGAAATTAGGTACTCATTGCAACAACAATGGTGTATTTTGGTGAAGTACAAGGCTTTTTGCTCCCCTTTTTATCTTTTAGCAGACGGTACTTAATCAAGGCAAACACCAATTTCTCAGTTGCCTGACATTTGGATCAGTGTAGATACTGCTGCAGCACCACACTGCAGCTGAGTGTGAAATACCACAATCAATACCAACCAAACGGGTGAAATGCAACATGTTTTCAAATAAAATAAGGCCAAATTAGGTTACCTAGTCTCTTACTTCCATCTATGTATCAAATTGTGTAGACTGGATTACTTCCAGCAGAATTTGTGTTCAAGCACAGCAATGTAAGAGGAGACACAGAGCTGGACCTCAATGTTTTAGCCTTGCTCAGAGAGGATGTGGGATGAGAAGACAGTCCTGAGCAAATGCTTCAGCTTCTCTGCAAGGCAGCTCAAAAGAGAATTCACCAGTGCAGGATTCCTGGCAAATGGGAGCTTTCACCAAACCAGCATCTTCTGTCACATACACCACCAGATGTGATGACAGCAAGTAATATATGTTAGTAAATTAGGTTGAATTTCAAGTAAATTTGAAGTGATAGAGCGAATCCTCAGAACACATCCCCAAAGGCAGGCCTTTGGTAGGTACTCACAGCTGGCTTTTGGAAACATGGTCACATTTTAAAAGCTGCAGAGCTAAAATTTATTAGTGAATCCCGACCAAACTCTTTGTTTCCATGCACAGTAGGCATCTAGTCCTTTCCAGAGCAAAAGTAATGAGGGAATTCCTTCTTCCCCTGCTGGTAAGTTTGCTCAGAACTGTTTTTAGCAGTAACTTTGACAGAACTTTCAGGTCCAAAGCTGGTTAAATAGACTCTCTTGCAGTGCCAGAACAGGACTCTGCCCACAAGCCTGGCTATTCAGCAGTCATAAACAAAACCTGGATCTACCAGGATGGCCAAGGCCACCCTCTCTAGTGCCCCTATAAACATTGCCAGCTGCACATGTCCTTGCTGGAGCTCAGTGCCTGTGCTTGCCTGCACAGACAGGGCATTACAGAATGCAGTTTAACTCTCAGTGAAATGCTTGATTGCACTCCCTGACACAGAAAGCTCTATGAGAATGCTGTGCTTCCATTGGAGGAGATGCCTCTAGTACCACCAGGATTTTGTGTGCAAGGCTCATGCTGTCTGGGCCTGCAGGGGAACTCCAGCCAGAGCAGGAATTGTCTGTACAGAGACTTTTTTATCATTCTCTAATCATAGAATCAGAGACTGCTTTGGGCTGGAAAAACATTTCATTCCAATTCTGCTGCCATGGGCAGGGACACTTTCCACTAGACCAGGCTGTTCTAAGCCCTGTCCAACCTGGCCTTTAAACACTTTCAGGGATGGGGCATCCACTGCTTCCCTGGACAACCTGTGCCAGGGCCTCACCACCCTTACAGGGAAGAATTTCTTCCCACTATCCTATCTATCCCTGCTCTATGTCAGTGTGAAGCGACTCCCCTTGGTCCTGTCACTGCAGGCCCTTGTCCTAAGTAATTTCTTTTGAGCCCCCTTAGGCACAGGAAGGAGCTCTAAAGTCTCCCTGGAGCCTTCCCTTTTCCAGCCCTAGCTCTTGTAACCTGTCTCCAAGCAGAGGTGCTCCAACCCTCACAGCATTTTTGTGGCCTCTGCACTCACTCATTAACAGGACAGGAAACCTTAATGCCTGCTTAACCCAAAATCTTATTCTGTGATGACACTTCTCATTTACAGTGAAGTCTCCTAAAACATACCTGGCCTTGCTTTTTAACATCTTTCTTCTCCTTTTCCCCAAAGACAAACAGTTCAAAAAGCTTTACAGCCAAGACTCCTCAGAAACATTCAATCCTGTCAATTTTTTCTGAGGATCACTGTAAACTGAGGTCATACCAAGGAAATATCACTACCCTCCATTCTTATGTTTCTCCTCCAATACTCACTGCTGGCAGACAGGAGGCTCAGGGGCTCTCACTCTGACCTATCCAAACCATTTTTACCGCCTACATTCAACTACACCAGACACAAAGATGTCCTTTTGAGACCACTGCCAAGTTTCCTTCCTTCCCTGCTCCTGAACTGCACCCTCTCCTGACAGTCTGACACAACAAGGAGGCAAAGCTTGTCTCCAAACTGCCAGAAGCTGCACTTCCAGAGTGAGGAAGATACTGCTCAGAAACATCAGGTGTAACCAACATCCCCTCAGGACTGAACACAGTGATTATTCTTTTTATCTAAAGACAGGCTGTATTGAGCATCAAGGCTGTACAGCCTGAGACAGCTAATGTTACTGGAGCACCAGCAAGGTTGTATTTTGTCTCAAAAATAACAGGATGGTCTTCCCACTTACAGAAAAATTCATAACTTAAGCACTAATGTGACAACATGGAGAAAAAAAGTATATATACATGAAGCAGTTATTAATGCAGACATTGAAAGCAGTATTTACCTCTTGGGCTTGAAAACAACCTTCTGTCCTCCTTCAAGTATCAGCAAAGCTTTCAGCTGCGTCCCCTTGTACCCCACATCAGCTTTGATGATCTTCTTGGTGGTCATGGCGTGCATGACAGCTCCCAGCTCGGGGGTGTCCTCGGGGTACACCTCGCGGGGCACCACCCACTGCGCCGCGATCTCCCAGGGCGACTGCAGCGTGTGCTCCAGGCGCGGGTCCAGCGCCACGCGCAGCCCCGACAGCATCCGCTGGAACGCGCGCTGGTCCTCACGGTTGGCAGCCGAGGTGTCCAGGTTGTCGATGAGGAAAACCTTGGTGAAAATGAAGATGACGAGGAGGATGGCCAACAGCACAACTCGCTGCTTCAGCTTCATGGTGCCTTTCGGCCCTTCTCCCCTGACCCTTTCTTCCAAGCGTTATGGGAAGTCTGTTGGAGGTCAGGGTGAGGAAGGGGATGTTAGTTGATGAATTTCATGCCTAACTTGCATTGTAAAAGATGTCTCACCACTGAAGCATCTCCTGGTACCCCTAAAAATAAACAAAACACAAACTTACAATCCCGCAGATCCCACCAAACTCAAAATCAAGTTTATGCTTGGAACACAAGTCAGTATTCATGGAAACCTGTATCTTTAAGCCCAAACACTTCTGTTAAAACACACTGGGTTTGCTGCCTTCCTGCAGACTTTCTGTGATCTGCACAGAAGGGGAAATTGCCAGATAGCGTCTCTGCACAGCTGAAATCATAGCAGCTGCAACCACCACGGGCAAGACTTTTGCAGGGAACTGTAGTTTAACATGATTGCTCCAATTTCACATGCACTCTTCCACTAGCGCGAGATCCCATGATTGCTGGTGTCCTAAAGACCTGTCCCCCAGAAAAGCTCCCAGGTCAATTTTAAGACAGCTTACAACAGTGAGAACAGCTGCACAACCTTCTTTCCTGAAGGTACAAGACATAAGGACAGAATAGACTTAATTGTTTATTGCCCTTCATTTGCTGCCACTATAATTTACTCAGCTTTTTTTTCCATTCTTAAAAAAATATGAGCTGGGGTGGAGGATGACATTTTTACTTCCTCACAGTTAACTAAGTTCCTTCCGCACTCAACTGTAAAACCAATAACCACAGAAAATATACAAAGTGTCTGCAATCTCCACCAGATTAACAAGAAAAAATACCTCAGACCACTAACCTTTGCCTGTTCTCACATCCTCACTACAACAGTTGAAACCACATCTGTTTCTAGATTTACAGTGGGCTCCAAGATACATCTGGCCCCTCAAGAAGCCTTGGCCAGGGCAGTGTTTGCATGTAAGGACCAGAGAATGCATCATCAACTGTATTCAGTTATAAAGACAGAATTACCTTCCTAGTGTTAGCTGAATGCAGTCAAAAGCCAAATGGAAAGAGGACATGAGGCATACCTCTGAGGGGCACTGGGAGCCAGCAGGAATTTCTCTTCACCAGCCACACTGATCATGCAAACCCCAAACAGCACTCTGGGCTGGGGGAGGATTGACACAGAAAAGCCTTCTCATGTGATTTAACAATAAGTGTATAAATCAGCCATAATTAATCATGGCACTGGAAAAAATGAGCTGCCACAGGCTCCTTTACCAGCAGCAACCACAGAACAGCCAGGCCATGCCGGGTGAGGCACACACAGGTCACAGCCATCAGTGCAGAATCAGGCTGGCACGGTGTAAGAGTGTTAGTATAAAAGGACATGCAAGCCCACAGAGGACTCCAGAGCACCCAGAACAAATCTACATGAGGTCTAGAGCAGACCCACCCAGCCACACGGCTCTCCCACAGCCCTGTAGCACTCACAGCAGCACAGAGACCCCAGCAAGGGCAGAGGGTAGAAGCCTCTGGGATGCTTCAAACTAGAACCACGGTCTCCCATTAACTGTGTAATACTGATTTTAATCTGTTGGAAAATAAATGCTCGTGCTCATACTGAAAGAGAACAAATCACATGTTTATATGGAAATTAGAGCATATTATTAGTCTTCATCTAGTTCTGTTTTGGCAGCCTGTTCTTCTCCAGACAGCACTGCCACCTGCACACACCTGCACTGCCACACTGCAAGCACATGAATGTGAAGCACAGACAAGGAAGATGCACCTGACCCAAGAGCTCTCATTCCTGCAGATACAGACTCACCCAGGAAGAGATCCTTAAATAATAACCACATTATTCTTAAACTTAAGCAGACAAGCAAAGCGGATTGGCTGCACCTACACTCTCTCATTTTAACTGCATAATTCACCTCTTTAAAACTACTAATTCTGAATAATTTTGAGCACTGCTTCCATTCATTTTTAAAATCCATTAGAGTTTGTAAGGAGTTAGGTGGAAGAACAGAGGCCATTTCAGAACAGTTACTCCTTGCTATGGGATATGTGTATGTGTACACACACATTTAAAGAAAGCCTCACAGCGCAGTGCTGGCTGACTAAAGCACGAAAGCTCAGGGCAGGATGTTCCACACCTCTGGAGCTCAAGATGAGCACTCACTTTTCTACACTGATTTCCAGGAATACTGAGTTTCTCTAGAGATATTCTTCCTGGGACTCAGGGGGAGAATACAGCTACAGTCACTTAAATTAAAGGTGATTTATTTAGTTTATCTTTTGTGACGGCTTTGAAACTAATTCTGGCTGAAATTTACCTCCAATGAGGTAAACAGAATTTACAAAAATAAATAAAATTCAGTATTTAATTATTTGCTGGTGAGTTGGCTCTCACTTTTTAGTGACATCTGAGGACATGAGTCATGGGCTGCTTTCCTCCAACAAACACCAAAGCACCCCCGAGGTTGCCATGCAATCAACTTCCCAGTGCTCCACGCACAGCCTGCACTTTGCTCCTTGGTGCCAGCACTACACTCTCTGCTCTGCAAGCCAAGGGAATTGAATCCTTTTATGAACAAGTTTACCACGGACAGCAAGAACTTGAGTTTACTGCTCTAAATTGAAGATGGCAAGGGCAACAGTGTCAAGGCAATGTAAAAAAATATTTATGCTGCTTTGGAAGAAAGTAATTTGAAAAAGACAAGTCTTTGGCAAAGTCTTGGATTGGAAAGGAAGATTATGAGAACTCCAGAAGTGTCAAGCTGGCCCTGGAATGAGGTCAGAGATGAGAAAAGTGAAATAACAATACACCACCAAAATTTTAAAAAGGAAAAAATAAGGTGAGTGTGAGCAGAACTCTGTGGAACGAACAGCAAAAGGGTCTTGGACAATGACAAGAGTAAACCCAGCCAAAAAGAGACAACAGCCAGAAATAAACAGCCCTAGCAGCTTTTTAATGCTGTAGTCAACTGCAAGGTTCACGTAAGAAATGTTTCTTGTTTTTCACTACTTCTTCGGGAAATTTCCTGATCAATTCCTTCTCTTATTACAACCAGGTCTGTATTCTCAGCAGGTATGAGTCTTCCAACTCAATATACAAATAGCAGCATCTCCTCAGTATCATGGCGGGGTCACTGTGCACACACACGAATTAAAGCATGTCTTCTGGCATTAAATACCAACATCAGACCACTTCACTCCCAGTTCAAAAAACAACAGGCAATTTGCCTGTTACAAGTTACAGCTACTATAAGCAGCCTACAAAGTTACCAGAAAAATCCCACAAGACATTTTTTATTGGAGTCACAAAATCGGTGGCGTGCCTCATATCACAATCTTATTTTTATATCATAAAGTCCTTTAGCTGCTATGTCAAAAATACTTGTGTGTACAATTTGCCAGGATTTCATTATGCTCCAAGTCACAAATCAGGTCCGGGGGCAGGCAAAGGTTTAGTTTGGCAGCATAAGTACACAAAAAATCATAGCTCAAACAGACACTGATCTGAAATGGATATGGTGGGAGTAGAGTCTAATTCCTGTTTAATGCATGGGGTTTTTCTTACACACACTATACCTTTTGGGATCACCTATCAAAAGGCCTTTAGAAGTTCTCCAGTAAATCCTGAAAAACGCCTTGAAGAAACATCGTCTACAGTAGTGACATTTTCCTCTTCCCAAAACATCCTTCAGTCTCACCAGATCAATCTTCCTTCCCATCCTCCCCTCTCTGGCCAGCTCCTTGGTGGCTCATGCCTCCCTTCTCTGTGTGAGCCTTGTTATTCCAGTTTCCACAGGCAGGCTCCCACAGACCTTTCCTTGGATTTCTCAGACTCATTCTGTCACTTCCACTCTCTGCGTGCTGCCTGCCTTGTGTACAAGTTTAGTCATCTAGTGCTCAAGGCTTCCCACGTATTTACTTGTCTGCTCTTTCTCCATCTCCTTTCCTCTTAAAACCCTCGTTATCCACAGGCAAAATCTGTGACAGTCTACACTCAAACTTTCCACAAACACAACTGCACCCATGGCTGAGAGCTACAATGGTGACAAATATGAGAGACCACAAGCATTTTAACCACTGCAATATCTCTGCCTGCAGCTGCAACAATCAGTAACCACCTGAAATATTCTCACACAGCTTTGGAAAGAAACAAAATAATTTTGTCCATCTGTCTGCCCACCCTGGCCTGTTATATCCCTTAGTAACTTAAGAATCTGTCACCTGCATTTCTGCCAAATTTGTCAGAGGACTACTCACATGAGCTTTATAAAAACCACAGGCCAGATAGAGGACAGAAACCTTGAGAAGCCAAGGACAACTGGGTAAATATCCTGAACCTTTCCCAGCTGCCGGCACAGCAAACAGGAACACCTGACTCAGCTGGCTGCACAAATAAGGACAGGGTGGATTGGGGTACAGGAAGCTCCTGGGTGCAGCCCTGGGCAAGGAGAAGCCACCAGGCACCGAGGCCTGTGGGAGCCAGGCAGGAGTTGCTGGGGTAGGATGTGGCAAACAACTCCTCAGGAAACCAGGCTGCATTAATCCTCCTTACAGAATGACTTTCCACCAAGCACCGTTTCCTATGGAAACAAAGTTTATATAATCACACTTTTCACTTAGATCCACCAGCTAATTCCAAACACATCTGAGAGGACAGTAGATGTTTTGAAGACAGGGTTTATGTGTTTATTGGAAGCTGGCAGCCGGGGGTGCTGCAGGGAGGGCCACAGTGCTGGCTTAACAGTTGTCTGCTTGCCTTGGCCATGTGGGCAACCCAGGACACAGCTGGTAGGGGCAGGGAGCTGGGACTGCCACGTGGGCAGAGAGGGATTGGGAGCACTGAAATAGGGAATGGTACAGGACAGGGGCAGGAGCCAAGGGCACTGATACAGAGGGTGCTGGGACGTGGTCAGAAGACGGCCGGAACAACTCTCCCTTGTTCCCATCCCAGTTACTGACATTCCCCCTGACCACTACGGGTCAATAAAGCCAGCTGGAAATGCTTTAGGGAGCCTTGCTCCACTTGGAAATGAAGCCAAGGCAGTGAGAAAATTCTGTAGTTTCCCTTCTCCACTTGACACGTTTATTCATCTCCTACATAAGACTGACATTAAAAATTTAACAAGGGTCCACGTACCCATCTGGATTTTAGCAGTGACGAGCCTGTCGCTGCTGTAGGATGGTGCCAATCAGCCTCCCCCACTCCTGAGGAGAGGCAGTGGGATTCTGGTGTCAGAACCAAGCTGACAACTTTGTACCACGAAGCAAAATAAACTTTTTACCTCAAATGGAGGCACATCTTGTAGTGACTATGTAGGACAGACTTAAGGACACGATGGGTGCATGGAGTCATTTTCAAATTAAAACAAGACACAAGAATGCCTGTTCTGTAATACATACTAGGTGGGATCCAATGAATCCACTGCAAACCCAGGATCTACATTTTACAGTTTACTCTGTTTGCTCAGCCCCTAAAGCACTATGGATGTTGTAGGGCCTCAGAAGGTACAATGAAACAGCTGCAGTGCTTATTCACATCTGTATCCAGAAAGGATCCAAAGAGAGATATCTTTAAAAAAGGTTAAACCCATGCCTTTGACAACCACAGTCAGCGCTTCTATAGACACACATTGTATTTTTCCACCAGCGGACAGTGACCTTCGCCAAGCTGCGACTGGCACTCGGTGAGAGCCCTCGGTGCAGACGGCTGTTCCCAAGGGTTAACAGATGGCCAGAGAGGCTTCACAGCTGTACGGGGCTCCGTCCCCGGCTCAAAGCGAGCATCCAGAAGAGGAATGAACCGCAGGAGTGCAGATACAAACTCCCATCTGCCAGAGCCGCGTCCGTGCAGCCCCCGCCGACCGCGGGCGAAGCCGGGGGGTGTCCGGGGGCCGGAGCCGCGGCTCAGGCCGGACCTGTCAGGAAGGACGTGGAGGTGCTGGAGCGAGTCCCGAGAAGGGAACAGCGCTGGGGAAGGGTCTGGAGCAGCAGTCTGGCGCTGAGGGAGCCGGGGGGGCTCAGCCTGGACAAAAGGAGGCTCGGGGGGACCGTACTGCTCTCCAGAACTCCCTGACAGGAGGCTGTGGCCAGGTGAGGGTGGGCTCTTCCCTCAGGTAAAAAGCGACAGGACAAGAATACGGAGCCTCGACCTGTGCCAGTGGAGGTTCGGGCTGGTCACAGGGAGGAATTTTGTCACGGTATGGGTGGTTGGACATTGGAACGGGCTGCCCAGGGCGGCGGCGGAGTCACCGTCCCCGGAGGAGGGTAAGGAAAGCCCGGACGTGGCACTTGGTGCCATGGTCTGGTTGACAAGGTGCTGTTGGGTCACCGCCTGGACTCGACGATCTCGGAGGTCTTTTCTAGCCTCACTGACCCCCTGATCCTGCCATTCTCCCGCCGCCGGTCCGGCCGCAGGGGCCCCTCCGGCGCTTCACGGGGCGCAGCCGCCCCTCCGCCCCCTCCCTCCCGCCGCCAGGCCCGGGAGCCCCTGCTGTACCCGCCCCGGGCCGCAGCAGCGCCGC